GGGAAAGAACTGTTGAACATTACATGGTGCCATTAAAAATATGCCAGGAAATGCAGGGATGAAGCAAAGTTCCCCAGACAGACTCAAAGTAGATTTGGGCTTTTTCCCCAACTATATGAACCAACCGTCACGCCGAGCAACGCTCGTCACGGGCGCTGCGCTTGTTTCCACTATGGTGCGCCTGCTTTGGATGTCATTCCGGGAGCTAACCTTCAGCACCCCTCAGGAGGTATTACTAATATCAAGTACCAGGAATGTGAAAAAGGAGGGGGTGCGTGCGTGCAGAGTAGTTGTCGGCGATTGGTTAAATCCCCGCGTCTTCACACCTCAAGCATTAACATTACAAGCACCATGTGTAAACACAACTGACTGTGTGTGAGAGGGGTGCGGCCTCTCCTCTCAGACAGAAAACACAGTGGAAAAACAAACGGCCTGCGTCAACCCCGGAAGCTGTGCACGGTGATGGTTAAGGGTTGTCAGTGTATTCACCCCTAAGTCACAGGTGCACGTCCAGCTCATATCAGCTACCGGTGGCTGTTTTCTACATGGTGAACACCATGAGACGTCACTTTTTAGTGTAATTTAAAGGCTATTCTGTGTTCTGACGTTTGGACAATGTTTGTAAGTAACTTCATACTGTAATACACTACTAAAAAATTCACCCAGGTGTTGTAGTTAATTATACACTGGCATCCACTCTCCCATAATCAGTTTTCAATTTTGGTAATTGAATATTCAAAACAGCAGAAAATTTTAATGAAGTCTGAGTCAAATGATGAAGAGAAAAGAGAACACAATGGCGACAGCTTGGTCTGCCAGCTGGTAATCACACCTCTGAAAACGTTGGATCAAATCTCCACGCATTATTTGGATGGACTGACCACATATTCTAAATCTAAATGGTTACTTTCTTACCTAAAAATATGAATTAATAAAGTAGCATAAGACCAATCCTAGGTTGAATAGCGTTGTTAAAACAAACAATGCCTCTTTGGTAAGACAGACAGACAAAGAGCTACAACCCAATTCTCATCAAAACGAGCCATTTTAATGAAAGAGCGTATGAGCAGCCGGCTGTGAGAAGGTTGCCAAAGGACAGTCTGCAAAGTGCAACACCAAAAAGAGCCTACTGCAAAAATATTTAACAGCTTTGCTGTTAGACACATTATTCCAAACTAAGTGTTGTGGTAGAAGCAACAGGAGACCAGTGATGTGTGAAGATTTTAGTGACACTAACCTAAGACTACATACTTTTGTAGCATCTCTTTTTGGTGTTGCACTTTTTGGACGGTCCTGCGCACTCATCTTGTCATGTCTGAAGGACAGAGAGCATCACTTTATGACTGCCAGCACTACACTGGTACAATTTCATAAGAGCTGGGAATCCAGGCTGTAAAACAGAACTTATGCTTACCTTCATCAGCTTTGTAGCCAGTTTCAAAACATTGTTCACTATACTGAGTTCGTCTTTCTTATTGGGCTTTTTCTCCATTTTGAGATATAAATTTATCTGCAACCAAGAACATTTGTACATACTTTAAATTGTACAATAAAGACCTAGCAGTTTATTTAAATGCACATTAAATGGTTGATTTAGATACTAACAATGAATAAACAGGGTGTTGCAGCCACTGGTCCTTACCTGCTCAGTGAGCAGCACTGAGGAGTTGCTGTATTTGCAGTTGGTCTCTGAACCCAGCGTGGCCAGCCGTAACAGAAAGAGAATGAGGGAGGAGCCCCACACCATCAGCTCCCAGTTTGTCAGAGACTCCAGGAATGTCTGGTGGCTGTTCAGAAGCTGAGGTACAGCAAAAGCACATGTTTATACTTGTAGTACAGAGCACTTTGCTGTGTGCAAAGAATTGTTTTCATCTGGACTTTCTGACTTAGCATCAATCTTCAGTATTCTTATCTTCCATCAGGTAATATGATCAGATGGTTGCCTGTTCTGTGGCTGTCTTTCCATTACTTAATCTCTATGTAAGACTCAAACTGTTAGCATTTTTATTAACATTATTAAATGAATGTTCTCTCAACACATCAGATCTGTTCCAATATAACTGACCTGGGCACAAATGATGAATGAAATGGAAAGTGCTAAAAGGAAGATGGTGGAGACAATGACATCAACAGAGCGCTGCGGACCTCGTCTCTGCAATGAACAAGCAAGTCAGTGACTCCCTATTGCAATTCAAAGTCCATGATAAACCTCCACTGGTGAAACAGTATGCAGTAATAACAAAAAATGAAAGAATACAAACCCTGAGAAAAGAGCGTAGTGACAACCACATCTTTATGTTTTGGACTTTCTTCAGCCTGAAATGAGGGATCTCAGATTTCTTGGCCTTGCGGGCAGAAGTGAGGTGGCTGAAGTATTTGGCAAATAAGAGTCTCTGTTGAGGAAACATGGACATACACTGTAAGAGTTGCAAAGCAGTTGACAGAATTTAGCAGTACTGCAAAGAAACAAGCCATCCTATTGTATGTAGACCACCAACTGCCACTAGGGGGAAGACCAGACAACATGAGTGAATAAAAAGATGTAGATGAATTGTGAATTCTTTTTTAAGACAAGGCGATTATTTGTATAGCAAGAGAAAGTGAGGAAAAGCGGTTTAGCCATACAGTGCCCATGCTGACAGGACATTCTCAGTCACAGTAATGCGAAACAAATCAGGTAAAGCAAAAACAATTATAATAACAGCTCTTGGCACTGCCATATTTGATTATCTGGGATAAGCACAGGCTACACCTTGAGCTGTTTGTAGCCTATATTTCTTTACATGTTGCTACTTTTGGGGATAAAAGGGTGCGCAAAATTAGCTAATAGCATTTCCTCTGTACAGAACATCTGAACATGATTATGAACCTTGATCTGGAGTTATAATAAACACCCTATTTCTCATGACTGTGCGTACAGATTTGATTTGAGTTATGATTCTGAGATGAAGGGGTGCAAAGTTTAATGCGAATTTAATCAGTCAGGTTCAGTGGGTTAAAATGGAAACTGTTTAAATGTACAGTAGAATAATGATAAGAACTTCACATTAGTGTTGTTACTGCTTTACTACACATGCCATAGGAAAGATGGAAATAAGAATGCTTCAAAATGTACAACGTGAACACTGACCTGTTTGTATGTCCTCTCAGCCACACACATCATAAAAAAAAACAGTCCAATGAGGCAGACTCTTTGTACTGTTGTGATGAAGAGCAAAGTGTAGGCCAGGGCATCACGTGGTCCCACCGCCATTTCTAGCAGCTGTGTCAGGGACAGCGAGCTGAGGCTCGACATGTCCAGATGCTGAGCCAAGCGGAAGGCAAAGGGAAGCAGCGCCAGGGTAGCAGTCATGAGCCCACCAAGCACAAGGTAACCCATACCCTGCTCCACTAACTTCACCTGTTAAGAGAAGGGGAAACAAGCACCAGCCATAGGAGATAGTCAACATCTTGTTACGTTGCTGATAAAAGCTACAGCAACTCAGTTTAATCATTGGTGTATTAAATTTACACAGCACATGCACATTTTTAAAATCAGCACCACATATGATTGTGTAAACAAATCAAACAATAAGGATGTGTCAATATTGGACACCTATATTAAACTAGACAAGCCATTTACGGTTTGTAACTGTACCCGTGTGAGGATGATCCCGCTGATCTCCAGTACTGACATGTCCACTTTCTTACACTCGCCTTGCTCCCATATTATGGCACTGACACGGTCCTTGGATGGGTGACATGCTTGAAGCCAAGAGAGCTGGCTCTAAAAGGAACCACAACAGAAAACACTGTTTACTGGTGGTTTCCATTGTATAAAAATGTACCAAGTAATTCTGCAATAGGCTTAAGGTAAAGAAAGCTGGAACAATTAGTCGATTATTCAGTTATTCAACTGACAAAAATATGTGGCAACTATTTCATAATCAAATAATATATAAGCAAAAATGTCAAATATTTGCTGTCTCTAGATTCTCTAATACAAAGGTTTATTGCTTTTCAGTTTTGAGCACTTTGATCCTTAATTAAAAATGTTCCAACATGTTGACTCAGTAATTTACAGTATTAAAATTTTCTGGTGATCTTACTGTGGCGATTCCTTGCTGTAGGCTCTCATCGTCACTGCTCAGAGTAGCATTCTGTGAGAGCATCATGCCAGCATTGTACCTCCCGCTTCCCTCACTGTCACTGCTCCCCGTGGAGGCAGAGTCAGGCCCTTGGAGAAGCTCCTCCCACAATGTGTCATCAGTATCGGAGGGTGGATGAGAGCTTAAGCTTGGCCGGAGGCGCTTCAGCATGATGGATGCTGCACTCGCTTCCTGCTCTCAAATCAAACAGTATACTCTATATCAAAAACAAAAGTTGTTTCTCTGTGTATTAAAATTTTCATCTCTACGACTGCTTGTTGAATTATAAAAACATAATGCTTGCACCTCTGATTCCAGTTTCATTAGCATACATTCATTCATTCATTCATTTCTGGACAGGTCGCCAATCCATCGCAGGGCTAACACATAGACAAACAACCACACACACGCACATGCACTCCTATGGGCAATTTAGAGACACCAATCAACCCAAGCTGCATGTCTTTGGAGTGTGGGAGGAAGCCGGAGTACCCGGAGAGAACCCACGCAAGCAATAAAACTATAACTCTGACCTGAGGTCTTAGTGTAGGTTTGTGGTTAGACTTGAGATTTCTCTTCCTAACAGAAGACACTGATGAGGATGTTGGCAAAGTTGCAGTGGGGTGGCTCTCTTGATGACGTGCTGGGTGAATTACTTCCACTGATTGTATCTTCTCCTCTTCCTCACTGGAAAGCTCATCGGATTCCCCAAACCCCGACTTTCTTTTGTTCTGCAAGAAAACACCCAGATTTTCAAAAAGTCAAATGACACTTTAGAAGGTTTTCAATAATCAAAAACATTTTTTCCACATATCCTTACACATTATAAACCTGGCTAACAGGTTACACTTAGGCTCACTGAATGCACTTGTAGGTACAACAGAAAGTCTCTGTCAAACCTTTGGTTAGAGTGGAATTAGAGACCTTAAAGGTACTCTGAATACTATTCAGGACTGCATTAAAAATATAACAAGACCATTTGACAGTCTAATAAACTCCAGGGGTCTCCAACTTGTTGCTTGCGAGTTACCAGTAGCTCACGTAAAGGTTGAAAGAATATACAGTATGTACTAAAGCATACAATGCATGCATTATAGAACTAAAGACGTTTCACAACAGAACTTTACTCAGTAAACCTGCTCAAACTGCAGTCCAATCAAATACACAGACGTACCGCCCTCCTTTGGCACCAGATTATTATATGCCAGTCACCTGTCAGTCCAATGAGTAACTTAACTCTGAGTAAAAAAGGTCGAAGACCATATTTATTAAAAGCTCTAGTCATTGCTGAGAAGAACTGAGTTAAACATGCAGGTGTTCATCTGCTTTGTTACTACAAGTGTCATTTATCTGCCAATACTGAGTCAAAATCAGTATTGAGAATAAACCTGCCTTTCTACCATTACATTACTGAGACAGCAAACAAACAGAACACTCTGGAGAAAATTAAAGGTCAGTTCAGCATTTACACATCAGCCAGATGCTTCTTAAATATTGGTTGTGACTAGTTCTCCAACACCACCAACCTGTATTTATGGACTGCTGTTGTTTAACTATGAGAAACTGAACTGTTGAGAATGAGACTCCCCTATCCACCACAGTTCACTGACATAGGTTTGTTGACAAAGGACTGAGTAAAGAGATGAGTGTTTGTACCCTCCTCTCTGTGTTTCTGTATAATTGCTGGCCTTCTTCAAACTGCTCAGGGCCCTCTTGCTCTATGTTCTCACTCTTTTCTTCAGATTTTTTTAGCCCTCTGCCCTTCCTCGGCCTAAAGGAGACAGAATGAGAACATGAGTTAAAGATGAGATAACATAGAGCAGGCACTGTCTAAAACAACATGAGTAGGAGCTTCTAAAAGGCTTTACTGCATGGCACAGGTACAAGCTTCTGAGAAGTGTTTGGGTCTTTCAGTGTACATAATGTGTAAGCTTAGACATGTACCAGAAGGTGAGATTGTGTTAGTATAAGAACATGAGCGTGCAGTGCCTAACAATGAGAACACCACCTCCTTCTGCGCGCAGAGCTGCTGGCAGCTGGACTGCCTGAGGGCCACCGGCTGGACTCAGTCGACACAATCTGGCAGTGCACAGTGCCCAGCAGCAGCATCAAACACATGGGCCCAAACACCTCGCTGGCAGTTGCCCCGGGGACCTCTGAGTACAGTACCACTGCTGCCACTGAGGGAAGCAAAACGTTTGACAACAGCAAACAAAACAGTCTCTTAGGGGAGACATTATAACAGAATTAATGCTTACTAATGAGGCCTTTCTGAGTTGCTCAGGTACAATGAGAAACATTTATTGCTGCAAATAACTGGGTGTAAACTGTGGCAAGCGAAGACACTAAATAAATAAAAACGAAAACTGCAAAATAGTGAATTTTAACAAACGCCTGCCCACTGAATATATCAAAAACCATGAACCATAGTAATTTCCTTAGATGAATGAATTGGTCTTTGTGTTTCCAAAGTAATAATACTCAGTTCTAGAGAGATGTTCAATTTATTCTGTGACCGCTTTTGAGGCTGCGGTTTGTTTCTCATGAACCCACATTGATATAACACTCCTCAGTAACACAATGTAATTCAATACCAGCAAAAACAACAACCCCCACCTCTCAAACAGTTGCAACAAAAGATTAAACATTATAATGTTCATTACAGTGAGATTTATTGCAAGACCTGTAGTGGACTTAATTTTTTCTTCTTCTATTAGTACCCATGTAGTCTTTGATCCCACAGGAGTTGATAATGTAGTGGCAGCAGACACGTAGGACTAGACTGGTGCCGTACTTTTTCTACCAGAGTAGTAACTGTGCTTTTTGAATTCATATGCGACTCAATTGCTTTAATTCCCATTGTCCCAAGTTTAAACATGTTTTGGCTCATCTTTTAAAGTTATCTCAAAACCATAACTATTCCCGGTAGTCCACTTTTCATTTTAGAGGCAAATTTCCATAATTTGCATCTCCCATTCTTACTAGCTTCCTCTTCTTCTCTTTTCGCGCTTACGGAAAATGTGGGAGACAGCATACATACAAGTCAGATGAATGCAAGGCATAGCATGCAAAACCACAAAAATTAGTAATAAAAATTTTAATGCTAACTAGATACAGTTAATAAAGCCAGATTTAATCAAGTTTTCAGACTTATCCCAATTAGTCTAAGGGTCATCTCAAAATTTAAGGCATCTTACAAGTAAAAAAATAAAACTTGAAGACATTTTATAACCTTAAATTTTTAAAATCAAATTTTAAACTTTTTAAAGATGTGCAGGAGCCCTGTAAGTTTCTTTCTCTTAGTTACTTTTAAAACCATCACTGGGTGTGCATGTGTGATAATTTATTATAGCCTGAGCAATCATTCTCACATGAATGATTTGTAACGGTTTTAGAAAAGATGCTCATGAGGGTATTACTACTTTTCCATGTGGCATTTTATTACTTCAGTAACAGCCCCATGAATAAAAAGTAGATAAAAAATGGTGAGCTCACCTTGCATGAAGTAGAGCACAAGGATACTTGAGGAGATGGACTTGGAGGTCACCTGGATCCACCATGGGAAGAAGAATGGGAAGAGCAGCACTCTTACTAGACCCTTTCGAGTCAGAGCTGTCCATGGACTCTCTGGTTTGGCTTTGCTAAACGTGGATCCTAGGGGTCAAAATGACATAAGCAAACACACTGTGTTTGTGAATGTGTATATGTAAACCACTGTAGATGTGTCTCAGAATAACAGGCTATAAACTACACAACAGGTGGATGACAACTCTTCACTGACCCTCACCTCTTACTAAGTCAACATCGATGAGGTCTGGCTTGATGTGAACTATCTTCTTTGGTTTGCTCTCCAAATCCTAAACGAAAGGCAAGCAGGGCATCAGTTTAGCTGTAATTCCAAACATAAATATACAAACAGAGATCTGTAGCTGTCTTACATTTAGATCTGCTTTCTCCAGAGATTTCTCCCAGACTTGTTGATCATAGGCCCCAATCTGTATCAACAAAAGAACTTTTACTTTTATTAACCACCAGAAGGGCTTATTTAGTAAGAATTTACAGCCTTTACTGTATATACATACAGTGCAGTACAATTTTATCTGGTATTTGAATAAATCAAATTACAGTATGAAACATATTTTAAAATAGGCCTAAGGTAAACAACATTTAAAGATACAAGCTGGAACCAAGCAGTACTGTATAATATTACAAGTTCATCAACAGAACATGTTGCCACAAGTCTTAAATAGCTTGGCGTCAGGTCTTATCCAAATCAGATCAACTGTGGTGTAGCTCATAGGATGAGCTGAAAGGTTAGGATTATGACTGAAGCATATCTAGTATAATGTGGATCTTACCTTCTCTTGATACCAGGCTATTCTGGCCATTGTGACCTAACGCTGGAACCAGTGAACTCGGAGTCACTGAGCCTGGCATAAAAGCAGAACAACAGAGACCAACAGTAAGTAGAAGAAACTAAACGTAACATTAACGTTAGTTGTAAAACCGCTGTTGAAGTTGGGTAACAGCTCAGCTGACATCATTAAGCAACGTAGTAAAGTTATGAAGCATCTGTTAACATTAAACTAAAGGAGTAAACGTTAGCTAACTAACAGTAGCGGTCCGTTAGTAAATACACAAAGTAACTTACCTGTGAAACACAACTTGGAAGGAACTAGTAATCATCACAAACTAGTCTTTAAATACTTTCTTGCCATCCGTTCCAGGGTCTTGTTGACAAACTGAGCTAGCTAACTTGTAACGTTAGCCAACGTACTCATACGATTTGCTTTACAAGGACTGCTACTCTTCAACGCGATAAACGTTGCATTTGTGAAACATTCTTGTTACATGCATACGGCTTTTTACCGATACGTTTATTCCAGATATTCTGTACTTCTCTAACTTCTCTTCTGTTTAACATTTGACCCATTTTCCGCTTCTCTTTTCCGGGGTGTGTTTATTTGCCTTGGGATTTTTCATCCCTGCTTTAATTCACTCAGGAGGAATTTGCTCATCTTTCAATCTACGTCCAGAATCTATTCACTTATACGATTGCCAGGCGATAAACCACTAACGTTACTTGAAACTTCTAATAAACAATTTGTGATTTACATAGTAACAGAAACATACGACCCGAAGGAACGTGTTGCCTGACAGACTATAATGAGGACAAACAATACCCTTGAGCGTATTCCTAACATTTTGGCCAATCAGATCGCAGCAAGAGAGAGAGAGCGACTTAACAAGTAGAGCAGACATGAATAAAATGGTTAGAAAAGCTACAGACACTTTTTAAATTATTGATTAATCTGCTGATTACACTGACAAACAATCGTTTGATCCATAAAATGTTGGAAAAAGTAAAAAAAAAAAAAAAAAGTAACGCACAGCATCTTCAAATTTAGGGTTTTAGTCAAATACTGCTGTCAAAAGCACAAAGACCCCAGTCCCCTATGTAATGTTTTACTAGCTACCAAAAAAATCGATACCTGCCCCCGACAAGTTCACTATTATTTTAACCTCTAATTTAAGCTCCCTATGCAACTGTTACACCAGAAACAAATTCCAAAACCCATTATTTATTATTTTAGTGTGTTTTTCTCACTTTAAACAGTCCAAAAGAAAGATGCGAGCTTCAAATAGTACATTTGTATGAAATCGTATAATAGACATGCAATCATTAAAGACATGTGATCCCAGTGCCAATGATGGTAGTTCTTAATAACCCAGTGTCCAAACCACAAACATAATCAGTTTATGTAAACAAAAAAGAAAAACACAGGGAGGTCACAGCTGAGAAGCTAGAACCAGTCTGGCATAATTCTTGCAAAATGACAAACAAATAATTCTCAGAATGGAAACATGAATTTACTAACTGACTATTTGCTAGTCCTAATGAAGATTATACAGATGATGTGCATTTTTGCTGGCATACAACACACTGCAGTTCCAGACATCTGTGTATATTAACAATTTTGATGAAAAAATATATATACAAGGTAAAACCCAGTAACACCACTATAAGACACTACTCTCTAGTAAGGGTCCATTGCGTAGCTAAACAGTCATCTGCACACAAATGCTCATAATGTTATGGTTAGAGAGTACAACTCTGTTGTTGAGTCGAAAGCCTGTCCAGATGGCGACAATCATTTGTCATTCGACTCCTGAGCGTCTGCTGACCGTTGGTCTTGCTCAGCTGCACACACAATCTTTGCCTTGACCTTCTTGTTGGAGGAAATGATAAAAAAGGGGCTGAGAAAGGCATAACAGGAGGAAAAGAACACCCTCATATCAGCTACCACTGGTGACACCTTAGCCACCGTCAGCATGTGGATCCAGATCACATTATCAATCCCAAAGAATACCACATAGAGAATCACCAGGGTGACCACTGTTTTGGCAGCTCTGGTCTCCACTCCACCACCCTGAGAACGGCGGAGCTGTCTCATCTTGCGGTTGTGGCGGTGAAGAAGCAGCAAGATGTAAACACTGGAGCCCACCATCAGGGTGACAAAGGCAAAGTCCCTGACAGAGACAGCCACCCCGTTAACCACATAAGACAGGTTGTTTTTGAAGTCTACATGACAGAAGCCCAGGTTGAGAGTAAAGGCAGGGACAGTGCCATTACGCGGAGCCATAGAAAAGAAAGGGGCTGCGATGCATACGGCCATGTTGAGGAGCCACAGTCCTGCAAAGGTTGGGATGACCAAGGAGGGAAGCGTAGGCTTCAGCCTGGACAAATGGCACCCAGCGGGGGCAATGGTCACTGCCTGAAACACACTGAGCATGCAAGTGATGCAGACTGATAAAGCCCGGCCAATACGGTAGGTGTAGATCACCACCTTACAGCTGGGATCATTCAGCAGGTCCCTCAGCCCAAACACAGTCATGGTCTGGGGGACGCAGCGGGTCAGTAGCAGCAACAGATTGGCGAAGGCCAGGTGGCACAGGATCATGTCCACAGGAAGGAGCTTGGGTTCGGTAAAAATGATGTGGGCATATGCCAACAGCACCACAGCATTCCCCAAGATACCCATACCTGTTTGCAAGAGGAATGACACCCCTTTGATGGTGACACACAGCTCCATGGCACCAAGGCCTGCACCAAACAAGATTTGCAAGACAGAGAAAAGGTTAGAAATACACTGCACTTAACAAACATCCTCCACATTGGTTACACCAACTTAAATAAAAAGCTTGACATAACCAGATAATATCTTGTCATCTCTAGGTGGTCTATCTGGAAAAATGATGCTCACCTGGTTGCGAAAGACAAGTAATGCCTGTTGTGCATTAAGTGTGTAATGGCCCATGTAATTACAATTTATAGAGTTCACTGCCACTTGAAGTCATTGGCCAAGATTGCAGTGTTCAGCCCCCAGTCTGTCAAATTAAAACAACAAACTAAATCTGAGATGGTCTCAGAGGGTAAGCCCTAAAACAATAGTCAGGTGGCCATACAAACATCGATTTAGTCTCTAATATGACGAGATGCTTTCGTACTTAAAAACGGCACCTTTGGAAGATACCAACTTGGTTTTGTCTAAGTCAGACTGTCTCATATTGACTTTAAATAAACATTGCAATATATATTTTGTACATAGCATGGACTCTGGAATTTGTCCCCCATCTGAATTTTTGTTTACAATTTTAGGGTCTGAATTAAAGGGAGCAGATCTGAGCTAGAAGTTTTTGAGTTGGCTTGAGTTTTTAGATCTGAATTGAGTGTACTGAAATAGAACAACTGGAATACAGTTTTTGAAAATTCAGGCATGTAAATGTTCTACGTGAACCTCATAATCCTAAAATAATGTCTACTGAAAATCAAGGATATAAAATTGCACAACTTGAAACAAAGTGAATTTCAGACCAAATAAATGTATAATTTTTTTTTTCAAAGTGAGATATTTCAGCACAATAATTTCAGTGGTATTTAAATTTCAAGACAAAGTACTCAGTAGTGATAAAGTTTCAAACTCTGTCAGGCCTATCCCGGTGCTGATAAGATTAATAAACAAATAACAGTGCAGCAAATATTCTGGTTCTCAGGAGCACCAGTGTGATATCAAACTTCAAACAACATGTGGCACATGTCTCACATTTCATATGAATGAACGTGGTCCAGGCTGTACATCAGCACAACAGTCCAGATTTGTTTTAGGTTTTACTGTTGGGAAGCTGCTGTCTTTTATGAGAATTCTAAACTAGAGTGATATTTTTCTGTTGTTAAATTCCACATCCAAATTTTCAGTGCCTCTGGACAAAAAAGTGCATGTCAATCTTATGAACTATTAAAGGGTTTTTTCTCTGTGGTGTTAAAAACATTAAGGTTAAACAATCCCAGTGGAGACTGCAGCCTGTGGTTACAGTTGATGCAAAGCAGCCTGATGATGCCCTGAATGAGCCATCAGGAGTCTTTAACATGCACAGCTGGTGCTCAGGTGTGTGCCCCTTTCTGTCTTCATGTCCTGGGAGCATGTTAAAAGACACAGAGGAGCATGGCAATTAGCCATGTAACAATGTGTGTCTACTAATTGGGGGCATAGGGACAACCAGCCATTATTCATTTATGTTCTTGATTCTCATTGCTGACATGCTACAACAGATATTAGTACTCAGGTTTTACAGCACAATCTGCATATAAACTATCTCTCCATCCATTATCCATACCGTTTATCTTGAACAAGGTCGGGGTGGGGGGGTTTGGAGCCAATCCCAGCTGACATTGAGGGGGGGTGGGGTACACCCTGGACAGGTTGCCAGTCTGCATATCAACTATACATGAAAATACATTTATTACATTAAAAGTGCTGTAATCTATGCTCATATTATTTCCTCAGTTGCAAAATTCAGATTGTGTGCTGAAACACTGTTTGAGAAGCTTGTTTCTCCTGGGAGTAGGCTTTGGAATAAAGTATCATAAGACGTGTTATTTGCCTGGTTGTTTTTAACATGCTTACATGTTCAACTCGCTAATTAAAATGGCAAGTTCAAGCCTGTCCTTCTCAGGGGATTTCATTACAAGTCTGAAATGCAGGCTTTTTTTGTTGCCTTTTTCCTATTTGTTTATGGCTGATGTAAATTGTTTTTTTTCCATTGCACTAATTTAATGTGTCATTTTTCAGAAACTGATTATATTAAAATAAAACCATTTGAGTCAATGTTCACATCTGATACAGGTCATGCCCAAAACTACATTATTTAACTGGACATACATTTACAATATATAATCCATTTTAGCACAGGTTCTACCATGAAGTTTATTATTATGGTAAATGGTCTTTATTGAGAGCTTTTCTACGCATGGAAGCACACTGCAAGCACTTTACACTATTAGCCCACTGAACCACTCTCACACACACACACACACACACACACACACACACACACACACACACACTGGTGGTATTACCGGCTGCAATTTGGGATTCAGCGTATTAGCCAAGGACACAGTGACATGTAGACTGGAATAGCCAGGGATTGAGCCACCAAACCAGGAGCTAGAAGATGACCCCCTCTACCTCCTGAGCCTGTAATGCTTCATTTATTTTTGCCATTGTCATAGACATTTAAATTAAGTTTGCTGTTTGAGCATTGAGGCCGTAGTGATGTGTTGCAGTGGACTGCACTGTATCAAGAAGTGTTTCTAATATTTTGCCAAACAACAACCCAATTCCCCATGTTTGTTAATAGGAAGGGACCCTCTCACTAGTCCAGTGCAACACCACCTTTATCTATGACCTCACTACAGCCAATCTTCCTTTTAAGTTGTTTACAAGTAAAGTTAGTTCAGAGAAATGTCACTTTTTAACCTTTTGCACCTTTAAGTAAACTGAAGGAGGCAACATCTGTAGCTGGCGAAGAGGGAACACTCAATGCACGTCTTCAGTGTGACAGTTAATCTGTCCCACAGCAAAAATGTGGTTTAAGAAGTTTTTTGCTCAGCAGCCTGTCGCTCTGATATTGATAGGTCTCAGACTTTTTATTTGCTTTTAAAGGGAAGGTTGGCAAAAGTGACCTCATGACTTCAGATTTTATTCATCTTTATACCATATTGACAATATGTTCACTTTAAGCTTTGAGATGTCTTCTGATATTTTCAAACAAACTAAATAAATGATTCATACTCAGTGAAAAACACAAACTGAATTTAAAAATGTTTTTTTCACATCTTTTATCAAGTATCTGTCTGCAGTTTTATTCCATATTTTAAAATAAAATGCAATGCCGTCAAATTAAGTCAATTTTATTTATATAGCCAAAAATCACAAATCCTAATCTTAATATATACATTACAATTTGTTCTTAGACCCTCAAATTAGAATAACTGAAGCACTAAAAGTCATACACCAAGAGAAGGCAGAAATAACTAGAGAAGAATTATAATGTGGGGATATAGAATAATAATTATTGGACAATAAAGTGAAGATACTGTATATGATTAAGAAGATGTGAAGGAGATAGGAGCTTTACCCAAATAAAATGAACTAAACTAAAATATAATAAATCTATGGGACAACAAAGAGTTACATTTAAAGTGAATTTAAAGTTGACACTACTCACTGTATATGTAAACATGCTAAATGAGTGGTAAGTCAGATGATCAAACTGCCAACCCTACGGCCAGGGGATGACCATTCCTATCTCCTGAGCCACAGCCTAAAGTGGACTTCATCTCATGAACATTCATATTGTAGCAGTGGAGAACAGTGTCTTTTAATTGTCAGTAGAGGACATGTCTCATCATGTTCTTATGACAAATGGCTGTAATATCCATTACCCATTTCCTGCTGTGGGACATGTTGCAGCTAAATCATGCAGCCCACTGACACCACCCACACTGAATTACCAATACCCTCACAGTTTAGGTTTAATTCAATTTTTAGAACTTTTATTGCTCTGGATGAATTACACAATCATAAATCACACACTATGTCACACACTAAAAATGAAAGTGTGGGCGATCTATCATGCAGGCTGGGAGGAATGTCTTCTGGTTTTTACTTAGTTTCAGTTTCTCCACTGGAGGACACTGTGGTGTTAGTATGTGACCAAGACAAGAACTATCTCTTGATGGAAGAAAAGAAAAACACAAAAGCAGTATAGAAGGTCTAATAAGGAAACTGAAATATAGTGTCAGTAATTAGAAAAAAGATTCAATAGACTCAGTGACACTAAGAAATTCTTTCAATCTTTTGGAATATAAACATGAGGGTAACAGATATTATCTTTTCATTAATGTCAATTTCCCTGTCCACTGGGGGTTTTGTGTCTGTCTGAAGCCCAGTGAGGGGAACAGAAGCAGTCATCTGAATTGATCTAAAGTAATTGGGGGCTGAGGGGAAAAGAAGTCAATGAACCATGCAAAACAGATTCAACAACTGTTAAATGTTTGCAAGTATAAGAGCACAAACAACTTGACCATTCAGAAGAGAGGGATCAGGGACAAGAGCCAAATTAGATCTGATATCATTTTGAATTCTAGCTAAGCATTACCTAACATCCAGAAAAGGATTACAATTGATACTGTATCTTGTTGATTTTACTGATTTGATAAAACTGTTTTTTGCTTCTTTCTTTCTATCACTACAGCAATGCCGTCTGAGCTGTTTGTCCGTGGGATGCTCTATCTATCCCTCACTGTTCTTGGAGTCCCAGGTAACACTGCTATCATCCTGGCTTTCCATCTCTTGCTATATCAAGAGAACCGGCTCCTCCGAGCTGATATTATTGTCCTGCACCTGGCTTGGGCCAACCTGCTGGTGGTGGGTGTTCGCTGTCTGCTGGAGACCCTGGCATCCTTCTGTCTGGCCAACATCTTCGGAGACACAGGCTGTAAAGCTGCGCTCTTTATCCACAGAACATCCCGCTCCCTCTCCATCTGGATCACCTTTGTCCTAAGTGCCTACCAGTGCCTGAGCCTTGCCCCTCCTGGATCACACTGGGCCTCTGTCTGTGCCATGGTAGCTCACAATCTGAGCTTTGTATTTCACTTTATCTGGCTGCTTAACACCTGCGTGAGCTCAACAGCCATACTCTTCTCCTTCAGCACCCGGAATAACTCCATCCCGACAAACAGTGGCATCAATATAGAATTTTGCTTTCTGCAATTCCCCTCAAGGTTGTTCAAAGAGGTTAATGGGGCAGTCCAGGTGGTCAGAGACGTGGTGCCCATAGCCCTCATGACCCTAGCCAGTGTGTTGATCCTGGTCTGCCTTTACAAGCACAGCCAGCAGGTGAAGGGACTTCGATAATGGGCTTGGGGTGTACACTATCACTGTGAGGACCTTGAGTTCCTCGCTGCTCTCTGACCTGTGTGTATTCTTCTCCTCCCTCTATGCAGCACTAAGCCCTGTGGTCATTATTGCATCTAACAGGAAAGTGAATGCCAGGCTGAGGTGTGTAGTGCAAAAGAAGGCTACGAGTACAACAACTACATGAATCCAAATGGGATAACTGATTGCTCACAGGTCTGCAGAGGAAGCTGAGATGATGAGGACTACATTTTTGTAAAGTCTGGGTCATACATGGGTCATTCTAGTTTTGTAATATACTAGTTAAATAATGTTGCATGATAGGGGTTGGAGGAAAGATTCTGCTTTCACCCATACTGGCTTGAGCGATTGTGAATTCATACACTTTTTGTATTAAAACATTTTTATTTTTGAGACTTTAAAGACAAATTGTAACAACTTATGAGTGTTTAACACCTGTAGCTTTGGATGTCCCCCTAAGCTACAGGTGCGTCCCCTTCCCCCTGGGTGGGGGGAGAAGGGGGAGGGGATGCTGCTCTTCTCACTGTGTATAATTAAAACAAAAATGGTCAAAAAAAACCCTGTTACTAAATACTAGTCTGTGTGACTCTACCTATCTGGCACTAAGTTGCTTTGTTTGTTTATTCATTATGTTTCCTCCATCTTAATTAGCTGGAAAAATTATAGCTGGGTGACACAGGGCTCACTGTAGCTGTTAAATAACTTTCAGCTGCCCATTTAGCAATAATTAAGGCTGTGAAAAGAGGCTGGGAAATGTTCCAAGCTAACAAGACAGGTAAATTGTCCCACAGAGAATTGGTTAAAAACCTGCTGGGAAAACTATATTCTTTAGAGAGAAAAGGTGTAAGAGATGTTCATGACTCAATAGTGATTTACCCAATACAATGCTGACAATATATCTCTGACTTCTGGGTGCAGTAATAGGATGAGGAGACTTTAGGGACACAAAGAGTTTGGCATGGATGTGGCAACATGGGAATTTAGTTGTTATTAAGTAATTGCCACCTCTCGGAGAAGCAAGGGCAGAGAGACAGGGTGGGGACATATCAAAACTCTGTGAGAGCCAGTTTAAAAGACACAAAGAGGAGCTGCCAGCACTCCAATCCTGCAGTTAACTTGAAGGTGCAATTCAGCTGCTCTTGCAATGCAGGTAAGGAGGAAAAGGAGAAGTTCTCTTTCTGTGCTTGTGCAGAACTGTTGCTTTCAAGACCAGGTTGACACCAAATGCTATTAAATACCATATTTCTTGCAATAGAGCAGCAGTTACTTTTATGCAACCACTAACACCCTCTATATGTAATTATATTTTTGGAAACCTCTCTCCAGATGACAAACTCCATGCGTTTTACTCTTCAAACCACTGAAATCTGATTGGCACTTTACACAGACTCCGGTGGAATGAAGGATAGAATACATGGATGGTTTCACTAGAGTAGCAAGTGTGCTGGCGCCTCCGGTGAGGAATCACTGAAATGGTTGACGCTGTTGATTCCCTTCAACACTTTCGGTGATGTCATGCTTTCTGTTTCTGTCAGGAAAAAAGTGGCAGATTAGTTAAAAGGAACAAATTCATGAAAAAAAAAGGTTCCATTAGTGTGTATGCTCAAGTGTCTTCCTATGTGTGAATGCATGTTTGTGTGTGTGTGTGTGTGTGTGTGTGTGTGTGAAGGGTGTGCCACTCAGGCCTCTCCCTGTGCAAGACAGGACCTGTCTTCATTGTTTTCCACCCCTCTGTAGCATTTTGAACCCAGTGAACACAAGGTGCTGTTAAACACGTAGAGACCAACCCCACAGAAATGCAACCCTCTTTCTAGCTCGCTCTCAAATCACCCGCAACCTTCACATCCGACCTGCACATTTCCCCTCCAAGACTAAGTTCTGCATATAAAACAGAACTTGCAGTAACTGATAAACACACATTTTTGTCTGTTCAACCTTCCCCTGCTTGACAAGTCATGATCTGTGAAATGCATGCAAGCTATTTGCAGGAAATGACATATCAAAATAACCAAAGAAACAAAGCTACACATGCTAAGTCTTCTGCTTCTTTGTCTGTAGTTTGATAAAATACATCACACAAACCTGTACAAAAGCCACACACAAAAAAGCTGTTAAGTTGTTCAGAGTGGTCGGCTAATAGAAGTTAAGGGGGTTGCAGTAAATGCCGTCAACCAATCCACCCCTGCTGTGCCTGATGTCAGTCTGTTTACCTGCAGCAGGTACAGGCATTTTTGTCCCCTGTGTCCACCAATGGCAAAGCAGCAGTGGGGGTTAAACCTTGCCCCTTTTCTGCCTTGAAGCCAGTCCACACCCTAATATAGTCCTCTTTTACTCAGGAGCTGAATGTTAAACCTAAACCCTTCCCTCCTCCACAGAAAATGTTTCAGATTACACAAACATCAGAATCACAACAACATTTTTTCTGGTTATTCTGATGCAGCAGAAATTTTATAATTAATCGAAACAGTGACAACAAGCATGATTCAACAACACATTAACTTCCTAAAATCCATTCTAAGTAATTTGTTAATGACACTTGAACCTGTTCTGCAAGCACCACCATACTGTTTACTTTTAAACTACCAATACAAATGACATTGAATGTTATTTTCTGGAGAAAACTATACCTTTGTTATTAATCCCATAAAAATCATTTCTTTGATATTTTTCCAGTTAAGAAGAGTTGACTGACTAGAGCAAGTGAAAAGTTTGAGGCTTGTTACTGTGGTGAAAATGTATCAGTAACAAACATCCTGCAGTACTTTCAAAACCCAAATTTTATTGATATGACAGACATAAAATCCCTTTCTATGTTTGCTGATACTGTTTTTCCCCTTTCCTTCAGAGAGATCTCTCTTTAGGTGTGTTGTTTAGAGGATTTCTTCTCTGTTAGAGAGAAGCTACTGATGGGGAGTGCCTAAGAAATGCTGTAGTATTATGTAAATCAACTCATTTAGTACTTTTTTGTGTGTGGCTGATTGTATACATAAATAAATACATACATAAATCCATCTCAAAAACAGGTTTAATTCAGCGTAGTGCCCATTTGGTGTTCTAATGGGCACAAATAAAGAAAATATTTAAATTATGTAAAAGGTGTGTGCTCTAAACTGCCTCAGAATATGTGTCAGGAGGTAAGGTTACCCGAATTTAATGCAATTTCCATTTTATTTGTGAAGTTTTAAGTTACGGAGTTGCATGTGTGCGACCCATTTGCTTACATCCATCCAGTTTAACTGATTCCCTCAGACAGGGATCACACACGGTCGTGTTTCAGCTTGTCTGGAATGCTGCATTGCATGGAAGCAAGCAGCAAGACAGTGAGAAGAGAATTTACACAGCTGAGGTGAAAGTTGGGACTGTACCCTTTCAAGGAACAGAGCAACATTTCTTGATTTTTGCCAGTTATTAATACTTCTGTAGAAAAGGTTGAGATGAGGGATTTTAAGATCCACGTAAATCTGTGGATTCTGGTCGATTTTAGCGTCCTGAGAACCTAATTTTATTCGTCAATATATTGGTAACATATTAAAGACATAATAAGACATTTAGAAACATATGTTTATTCACCTTCTTGTAGAGAGGTAGATGAGAAGCCAGTCCTCTTATATTGGTACTATAATTATGTAACCAGAGTCAGTTGCCAATTAGCTTAGCTTAGCACAAAGACTAGAAACAGGGGGAAACAGCTAGCTTGTCTCTGTCCATTGTTGAGACATACGAGTGATACTGATCTTTTCATCTATCTCTCAGGAATAAAGCATATAAGGATATTTCCCAAGATGTATTGAAGACTGTCTTTTTTCAGCACCAAGTAAAAGTCAACTCAAAAGAAATAAAATGTTTCATACAGGTGGAGATGACAGCTGACTTTGCAAGACTATTAAAACCTTATATTTAAATGAGAGTGTAGAATGACTATTATATGTGCCTAAACTACAACAAGGAGACTGCATAGCAGATTATGTCCATATCCAGTACCAGCGAGGGCATGGACCACACTGAAGAGAGGATGGGGGTGGGGTTCAGCCTCTGAGACCCCGGGGCAGAAGCTTGCTGCAACTTCAGGTGAGATATGCACCGCTGTGCCGAGACTTGAAACACATTCAGGACGTACTGCTCCCTATCCAGCAGTATATCACAGTGTGAGACAAAAAAAACACAAGAAGAGAAAGAAGGTTGAGCTGCTGAGTTGGAGGAAAAAAATTGGACAGGCATGGAAATGTTGTCATATGAACTTCTGAGAAATAATTTAATATTAATAGTCTTTCACCAGAAAGATGTGGTTACAGCTTGAACTGGCTGAACTGAAAGCTGAGACCTGCCCTGATGTGAACCAAGTATCAGCGTGTGCTGTGTCAGTATTGTGGCTCATTACTCCAGGGTGAATTCATTTTGTTTTATCTTTATTCATATAGTCTTCAGTGGTGGAAAGTAACTAAGCTCATTTACTAAAGTAATGTACTTAAGTATGATTTTGAGATACAGTATTTATACTTTACTTGAATATTTTCATGTTCTGCTACTTCATACTTCAACTTAAAAACATTTCCAAGGCAAATATTCTACTTTTTACTGCAATACATTTATTTGATAACTTTAGTTACTTTGTAGGTTGAGATTAATAATACAAATACAGTCATAAGACTTTGATTCCTAGTTGAATATTCACAACCTACCCAGCAGTATGTAAAGTACTTCAGGCTATAAGCATATAAGGTAGTTAAATGAGCTCCATCTTTAGTGATGTAAATATTAATGCATCAATAGCTATAATCCAGTAATGTGCTATTCTGCATAAACAGTACTGCTACATTTGGTGTTCCAAGTATATTTTAATATTAATACTGTTGTACTTTTACCTACGCCCTAAGTACCTATGAGTTTTTCTACACTCAGAGCTACTGCTACTTTTTCCTAAGTGAAGGACCTGAGTACTTTTTTTTCACCAGTGAAATTCTCCTGGGATCAGACCCTATTTTTAAAGTGAAAGACACATTTCAAGAAAGAAATACTTGTGACTGTGGGAGGAAAGGGCTTCATTGACATGTTAGTGTGCAGAGGTTTATCCTTTGATGAGCCAATCCAGTGTCCCTCAGGGATGATGATTCATGATGAATGCTGTGAGAATGCCTGAGCCCAGTGCACAGATTTTAATCTCTTAAAATGATTGTAGCTAAAAGGCAGCTAACACAGCGGGGCTCAAAATCGGGGGTTTGAAAGCTGAATTAAACTCCAGGAATAATAGAGAAGCTGTACCTGCCATGCTTTATTTTTTTATATTTAGAACAAATGTAAAACTCGGCACTCTTTCACTCACAAACCCCTGTGACTGTCACAATCTAATGTAACTCTCAGACAATCTGACATCAAATAAGATGCCTACTTCCAGGTTTGTCACTGGAAACAGCTCAGGTATTAGATATTTACAGACTGTACATGAATAAATGCCCAGTATACACATGCATGTAAAATTTAACACATTACAGTACACCTTGTTCGTTTAACTTGCAC